AGTGAGGCAACAGTTTCCAGACTATGGAACACATACAGGAAGAAAGAAGTCAGGCCAATAGCTACCAACTTTCAACAGGTACACAACAATCAAACCATTTTTCAGACCTTCATTCTAAAGAGTAAGTAATGCTTTCACTAACATTTCTATATCAAGAATTGATATTTAAAATAAGACAATGTAATGAAATAAAACGTATTCACATGGGTTTTAAAGCCAGCTACTGTAAATGTCTGACCCAAAAAAAGGGGATATGGATAAACAGATTTTCTATTTTCTTGCAGCTGTGAGTGCACATTGAATTTATGAATGTAGCCAGCCCTTGTACTGGCATATATATATATTCAAAGGGTGGATTCAAAAAAAAAAGTAGTTTCTGTATTGCCCACATAATATAAATTAGACAATGAAAATATCGGATTCGTTTTCTTTCCTCCAGCATCTCTAAATCAGCACAAAACAAAAAACTAAGGTCAGAGATATTGACTCTCAGTGAAATTCAATAAAACATTTCAAACACACAGATATTTCTGCATTTAAGCCATGGAATAACACAAGCCAACTTGTAGAGGCATACAACAGGAGGGCCCATCCAAAGCCTGTTTTTTAAAGCCAGTTTCTCATTTAAAAAGTCCGGCCTGCTAACTTTAAATTTTTCCAGCCCCTTCACAAAAGCATGTGTATGGCATTATCATTTAGATTCTGTATGCCTAATAACTGTTCACTACTGCTAAAGGAACCTTAACCATTTTATGCTTGATGGACAAAACAGAAAAAGCAAACACATATATTAAAAACACAAAATAAAAATAAAATCTAGAAATAGAAAAAAAACTCTCTCACCAAGCCCACAAAGATTGTAGAAGATACATCAGAAAACAAATCAAGCCTATTTGTCATTATAAGCACATAAGGCACATAAGTAAAATTAAGTACACAGTAATTTTGATGTAAAGATTCAGTGATTATAGTGGTACAAAAAACCCTTGAGGTTTAAGTCTTTAACACATTACCAAAAATAATTTTCTTAAAAATCTGCAAAACCCAAATGAGAGACCTGAATCATTTCATTAAGACTGTAAACGTTTCTATTTTTCATCAGCAAAAAAAATAGCTCATTTGTGAACTTTTTCATTTTGTTCCAAAATCACTGTTTACACGACAGATCTCAACTGGCAAATAACCATTAGCTCACAATTCAGAATGCCTGGATGTATAGTTGTATTTTCAAGTTATCAAGTCTGCAGTTTTGCAGAACACTTGAAAAACATAAACACATGGATAGGTAAATATAAGTGCATAACCTAAACAATTGTAAAAAAAAAAAAAAAAAAAAAAAAAAGTGGACTAACTGGAGCAAAAAAAATTGACGGGATGGGCATAAAGTTATTTTGCAATTGATAAACAGTCCAACATTCAATAACATCAGAAACCTTCAGATTTAATGTAATAAAAATACAAATATAACAAATGATGTGATAGAGAAGCATAGGCGTCCCTTAACACATTTAACGTTAACCTCTGTACAACTATAAATAACGAAAAGATTTTAAATCTTGAAACGTGAAATTTCACAAAAATACAAAAACAAAAATCAGATTTATTATCCGATTTACTTTAAAACAAATTGAAAATTTGATGATTGTCAGAAAAATGCTGTGTAATGTTGTTTTGGAACAAAAAGAATAAAACTCACAATCTACTTGTTTCACTGCTGTACAGTGGAATATTTATGCCTTGGTCATTCTAGGTTATAAACCAGTGTATGAGGAGGGATGTTTTTTTTTTCTTTTCACGTTGGTTCAGTATAACAAATGAGGCTGAATTGGCCTTGTCATCTTCAGTCTCTGTCTGAGGGATTTAGCCAAAACCGTGGTCCAGTCTTTTCAAGAAAATAAGAGGAAAAACAATTAGGGCAGAAATTAGATCATTGACTTGGAGAAGGAAACTCTCAGATGGTGGTTGTCTCCCAAGTCATGGTTGTGCAGTTCGATTAGAGCTAGTATAGCTTCTTCCAGTGATCCAAGTTGGATGAGAGCCATCTTTCGATCTTTCCTATTAAAACAAAGCAAACACTGTTGGCAATCTCTTATTTTATTACATGCAGTCATGTACATAGAAGTCTTTAAGCTCTTCTGTGTGTTTGTTAAAAAAACGGAGGCAAATAATGGCATGCATAGAAACCATTTGAATCTATAGAAACTGCCACTACTGTGAACGTAGGTGTCAGCCAAAAATAGACCTCAGAAAAAGCCAGTTCAAATCAGGATGCTAATTTCAATATCTATTTCTGGCCAGCATCAAAATACAAAAAAGGTTCAAATGGTCCCTGTGCAGTGTTTTTTTCAGCTTTCTGAAGCAAAACAGATAAAACCTGGATCTAGTGGCTTGTGTACACAGACTGAAAAAATATTTGCAAACAATAAAAAGGATATATTTTGTTTTCACGCAGTGGATATCATTTTATTTAAGTTTTATTGGCATAACATCCAAATGACAACACAGTCTACCAATTATGAGTCACAAGAGGACCATTTTTGTTATACCCACAAGCCTTCCTGTGCCCAGAATAAGCACACTTTTGTGGTTGGATTCACGCCACCATTCCAAATATTTATATTCAAGGAACGGGCAGACATTAAAATACATTATTTAAAGACATGTTCCACAATTCCTCATCCACTTTACGCTGCAAGTATAGAGAACAAAGAAACTTACTGGAAGAATTTAAAGGCTTTTACTGAACATCCAGTGCTTGCAAATAATCTCCTAAGGTCCTCATCAGAGACAGAAGGCCTTTCCGGAGAGAAAAAGATAAAGAGAAATAAAATGTAAATTTACATTCAGGTTTCTACCAGTAGTAAGTCACATAGGACAACAGTTCAAATTGCACAAGACTCATCACTTTGAGACAATACCTAATAAGCACAAAGATTCTATTTTTGTACATACGGGATGTTAGATAGGTGCAGTGTTGCAGAGGGAGGGAAGATATTTTGGAAGTTCTTGGAGCCTGGTTTCTTGAAACGATGCAATGGGCTGTTGGTGTAGTCCTTAGTAAGGCCTTGGTCTTCATGTCCTTCACGAGGAAGCTGAACAGACTGATGCTTTGAGAGAGTAATTCGTAGTACTCTTCCATGAAGCCTCTGTCCATTTAGATGGCTCATGGCTGTAAGAAAAAATACAAAAGCATAAATAGAAAAAAAAAGTATGCTGTCTAAATCAATTGCAGTCATTATTTAATCAAAACTAATATCTATGGTTTAAAGAGTGAACTACAAATCTGCAGCAAACCATACAAGTGAAATGCATATACAGTATGTAAACAGTTTGCCTGTCAACTGAATTGTATTTCTGTTTTTTAAGGTTATTCCTGTGCTTTCACCATCTATAAAAATGGGCCTTGTGAGCAAAGAGTTCAGAATGCTAGCCCTGTTCTTCCAAAATTCTGCTGTACAGTGGATTACAAGTGGCTGATATCAAGGTAGGTACAGGTATTTAGTTTATGTGACAATATAGTCAACTAATGATGGTAATGAATACATAACTGTATTGAAAAATAGTTGTTTTTTTTTTAAATCTGTCTGGACTTCAGCTCTAACAATAAGGCAGGGAATTTCCTATTCGTAAAATTGGGCACATTTTACATGTTCAATCATGGAGCAGACATGGACAAATTTGGTAGTACCTTTACAGCTCAACTTATGCTTAATTCCTCTTGAAAAGTGATGACATTTAAAGCAATTGTCTCACGCATACTCGCATGCCTTTGGTAAGTAATGGAGAGAATGTGTGAAAGGAGAGAAATGTTTGCATATTCTACAAAGATTTGTTGCTAACCCTAGAAATAAAAAAAAGGGTCATAGTAAGGATTTTAAACTGTTCTGTAATTATTATCACATGTCTTTAGTCAGTTAGTTAAATACATGGAGGAATGTAGTCACTTTGCTGTTTACCATCATTGTGTTCACCACATTAAACATGGACCACGGAAAGCAAAGGAGAACGTTATCTGAGGATATCAGAAAGAAAATTACAGACTAGCATGTCAAAAGGTAAATGCTATAGGACAGCCTCTAAGCAGCTTGATGTTTGTGACTACAGTTCCAAAGATTAAGTTTAAGATCCATGGGGGTGTAGCCAACCTCCCTTATCGTGGCTACAAGAGAAAAATTGTCTACAATTCACAATATCCTTCTGTTTAATCCAGGGTCAAAGAGCCAAGGAAACCTTTTAAATAATTACAAGCTGAACACCAAGGTCAAGGTGCATCAGTGCCTGATTGCATTATCCATTGCTTTTAGCGCTAGAGTGGGCTCAAAAAAAAAAAAAAGACCAAGGAGGACTCCACTGCTGAAAGACAGACATAAAAAGGCTAGAATTTGCTAAAAGGCATGATAATGAGTCACACTGCTTTTGGGAGTTTTGGGGTTTAATAAGGAGTTGCGCTAATATTGCGCAACATAAAAATTTGCAACTACCACCATTATATTGTATAGGGTCTTGGCATTCAGAAAATATATAATGTGTGGGGGTTTAAGTAATTTTCAGGCCTAAAATGTGGAATATAACATGGGTGCAAAAAATGAAAAAAAAAAAGGCCTCAGTCATGAAGGGGTTAAAAATATGAATCAAAACTAAAGCTTTCAAAGAAAGAATATTATACCTACTGTGAAACATGGTTATGATTTGGGGATGCTTGGCTGCATCTTGCACAGGGTGCCTTGAATCTTGGAAGGGCACACTGAAGTCTCAAGACGATCAAGGAATTCTGGAGTGAAACCTACTGCCCTGGTCCTCCAACAGGACAATGACCCAAAACACACAGCTAAAACCACCTAAGAATGGCTAAAAACAGAACATTGGTCTATTGAGAAGTGGCTAAATGTTTCTATTCTGAAACATTTAGCAAAAAGCCAGAACACATCTGTTTTTCCCCGATCTGTACCAGCTCTCAAACAGTGACGGCAAGTTCGGTAAATACCACACAACCTATTCCTCAAAGGTATCGGGTGTTTGTAAATCTTAACTCTTTCATTAATGGATGCCTCAATACTGAGGCAACAATTAATAGTAACCGCTGAGAATCAGCATTACAGAGCCCCAAATAGCTGATCAAGTACAGTATACGTGAGTAGTCATTTGGGCACTTTGTGATGGGAGACATACACTGTACGTCCCCACCACTAAGGGTGCACAGTAAAGTATCCTCAGCATGGGCCACTGTGCAAGGAAACATTAATCTACACATTGCAGGTAGGAAGGGGTTAAAGCAAAAGTTTAAGATATACAAATAGCCCCATTTAATACAGGTAGGCATTACTTAAAAAAAATCCTTAAATGTATATTTAGGTACCACCTTAGTCTATCTTTTTTAGCTTTTAGTTCCCTAACAGCATGATTTCAGGAGAGGGGCATGCACCACTGTAAGCCAGTCAGACTTTACTACACTGAACAGCACACAGGAAGCTGGCTGAGAAAAGCAGAGAGCACAAAGTTGGCAAAATCAGTTTTCTAGATGCCCCTTCACTATTTACTCAAGGGGCTTAAGGAGGTAGTTCTTTTAGCCTTCACTACAGTAGGAAAAGTGACAAAACATCCTAGCGGTGCTGTCCTAGAGGGCTGTCCATATTAGAAAACTACCTAGAGAAAAATAATACAATTTTGTCAGGTAACCCAGCCATGCCATTCGGAGAGGGCAAAGCTTCAGCACTTGCTGGTAGTGTTAAAGTAAACCCAGGCTTTCACCAACCTTTTTTTTTCCATTAAATAATCTCTTTAAATGCTTTTGAATTGGAAGAGCAAATGACACCATGTGAAGAGGAAAAAGTGAAAAATGTCATATACAAACTATACAAAACTTGATTGCATATTTACCCAGTTGTGCTTGGGTTGCATCTGCCATCTGCACCAATGCATTTTCCTTTTTGTTAAATAATATTTTTACACGGTGGACATCACCATAGACTCCTAAAAAGGATGGAAACAGTTAATCAAATACATATCACGCTTTAAAATAATGGTCATGTTAAGCATGGTTTACCAAAACAGAGCATCAGGTTTTATAAATAATTATTGTCTTGGAGACCACTGAAGGACACAGGAAGTCTTTCACCTTTTAGCTACACTGCAACCTACAGGAGGATCGGACACCATAAAAAACAAAACTGTAGATCAGCCCAGGCTAACTCCTCCTCTTACCAGCATGGTTCACCTTTGTAGCAAAGCAGTACCGAGAGAATGTAAAGCAGTGTAACCGGGGTGGGGGTCGGGAACAACACAGAAAATAAATGTTACAGGCCTAAGAAAACAACAGAAAACTGGGGACTGCTTGCCATTCAAAATGCAGTCTGAAGGACCTTATGACCAAAAGCTGGCGCCAGGTGTGGGTGCAACATTTACAAGGTAGACCTTAGAGAACATGTGAACAGAAAACCAGGTGGCAGTGAGTGGGAGGAAGAGACTCCTCAGACGACCAGGTCCCCTGCACCAAAAGGCTGCCCAGGAATCCATTCAGGCCAACAGACTGGCATCTGTCCTGAGGATCTTTCAAAAGACCGGAAGGAAGGACTGTCTCGGTGCTTGCACAGTTACACTACAGGCACTCATCAGACCCCAAGCCTCTCATGCAATGGTGGAGAGTCAAACGACTCCTGGACTGGAGAACTTGAATCCAAGTTCGTAGAGTGTGAAGTTTATTCTGTGGAATAAACAAACACTTTGGCCTGCGCTCTGTCCAGGACTAGACCTAGACACTCTAGACAATAAGGTCGGTTCTACCGGCCATTCCCAAAGGCTCTGGATCTAGCCGAACTGCTGTGATGTCTGGACATTCAAAGCCATGTTGTCCGTCAAAGCCTACACTGATTGTTCCCTCAACAAGAGGTCATCTAAATATCCCACAATGGGTATGTCACAAGAGTGAAGCAAGACTAGTATTGGGGCCAGCACCTTGGTAAACACCCCAGATGCAGACGAGAGGCCAAGACAGGGCCACAAAATGGTAGTGTAGTGGTCCCACAGTAAAGTGTAGGAAATACTGATGAGCTGGAAAGATAGGGACATGCAAGTGCACATCTATGATGTCAACCAAAGACAGAAAGTCTCCTTGGTGCAGGGAGGCGATGACAGATCTGGTGGATTCCATACAGAATTTCTGAGCTCAAATTAAGACATGCAGTGCTTTTAGATCCAATGTGACCCTTTTGGGTTTGGGAATGATGAACAGGATAGAGTGGAATCCCTGAAAACTTCTGCCACAGGAACTGGGGCAATGACACCTTGATCCACAAGACCCAAGAAGACTCTACGGAGATCTGGTAATCTGTGCTGGAACGCCAGAAGATTGGAAGTAAGAAACCAAGGAGATGGCATGGAGTGAAACTCCAGCTTGTAGCGGTTGCATACCACTTGCCAATAGCCACTAGCAAGAACAGTACAGATAGGGTTAATACAAACCCCTCACAATGCATTCTAACATTAAAAAAGACAAGTCAGGTAGAAATGTAACATGTCAAAAGCAATTTTGTATGCAAGAAGCTTTTTTTAGATATTGTTATTAGCTTGTGCAATGTAAATGGGAACATGTAACAAAAATAAAATAGGTGCTATCCCAATCTGGCTGCAAAAGTGGAAATATACTTTAAAGCTACAGCCATTTCCTCCAAACATTCTATAGTAAGGGATCAATGTCAGGAGTGGCAACATCATTTAAGGAACTTAAAACCAGTCACTCAGAATTTGGTAAATCAAGGTCACAGCCAAGATGGGGTATAGTGCAAGGCTTGCAAGCGAGAACAGAGCTCTAGGGAGGGCTTCAGAACATTTATCTGTTGGGTTCTTAAAAACATGTGCATCCTCCACTGGTATGGTGGTCGCTTTGTTAAGATGGGACTCTGAAGACAGAATAGACTCTTAAGAACATAGGGCAACAGGATTCCAAGCCGAATATGTAAGCCGCATCATTAGGAACGCTGTAAGCAGGTCAATCAGATAATTATGTCACTCCATTAACCCCTTCCGCAGTGTGAAACAGTATTGTTACGCTCGGCCCACTCACAAAGTGGGTCGACAGGGCAAACGCTGAGGCAATGCAAGCACCTTTAGGCCTGAAGGGCGCTCCACGGCTAAATTTTACCAGACTGGTGTCTGGAAAGCACCCTACGTGGAAACCAGTACCAAAAAGGTCACTTCCAGGCTGTCCCTGCAACATCCAGTCCAGCGGGGGCCAGATGCAGCACTCCAAAATTTAGGCTGAACATGGCCATAAACAGAAAGACCAGCTCCGGCAGCAGTGTAGAGAAGGGTCTTGGTTGCAGGGGAAAAAAATGCTGAAGAGTAAGAAAAAAAAAAATGAAGCTAGCTAAAATAAATCGGTCTTTTACACAGCAGAGATAAAGAACAGATCCATCCTCCTATGACATTAACAACAACAAAAATCTGAGGCATGCTGGTAGGAGGGGTTATCCTGGACAGGTTTTTTTCTGTGTGCATCTCAGTCCCTCAGCTGACAAGGAAGAAAAGCAATGCCAAGTCTTGCCACACATTCCGAACTAGAAAGAGGTTTGGCCTTTGACTGGCAATTCTAAGACAGTGAGGGTTTTCATTCTAACCTCAGATTAGTTTTGGCTGTGTATTTATGGTCATTTTCATGCTGGGAGGTGAACATCCACCCCAGTGTGAGGTCTCTTACAGACGAACAGGTTTTCCTCTAGAATTGTCCTGTGTTTGTCTCCAACCATTTCCCCCCCAATCTTGGGCTCACTAGTCCCTGCTAATGAAAAGTATGTCCAAACGATAGTGATATTTTCATTTTATTTTTTTTAAAGATTGGATTTAATGGTGCGGTGGAAGAGGATCAAGATTTTAAAATATATTTTATAACCCAATTTTGATTGGTTATCCCAGACTTACTTTTATAGCTCCTTGGTCTTCATGTGTTTTTTTTAACAAACCCGTGCCTTCCAAAAACATATGTATTTATTTTATTCTGAGACCAGTCTTGGAACCCAAGCCTATAAGGGCTCACTACGCAGGCATGGCCATTACACTGTAAAGTGAATCTGTGCTTTGTCCACTTTGACTTATCTTTCCCCAGCACTATATACAATTACATTCCTTTCACTCCCCCTGGCGATCTATTCAACTGCGGAGAGAAGGGAGATTCCTATGCATGCTGTGAAGCTTACCTAGGACTATGACCTCCCTGTGTGATGGTGGTGATTGGCCCAGCAAAATGGGAAAAAAAAAAAAAAACTCTGCAAAGAAAGTTACCTATGCAAGAGTTTGATGGTTTAAAAAGGTTTATATCCTCAAAAAGTATTTTTTTTCTTGTGTCATGTACACACATTGTTTAGGGAATGTCAAAAAAGGATCACATTACTCCACTCACAACACAGAAAAGCAAACTTTTAAACTACTGCTGTAAAGTTAGTACATTGGGTTTGTATATCAGTTTTGACTTTTGCATATAGCAAAACAAATCGAAAAACAATTAACTTACCAAACAAGATGAAGAGTGCCTGGGGTGTGATAACCTGTGGACACAAAAAGTGCACAAAAATTAACAGAACATGAAAATACAGAAACACACATTCAATAGACAAATTAATAATATTAGAGGCTTGTGGTGTAAATACATATACAACAAGCTATGAATGAATCCTTAATATTATGAAAAACCATAGCATCTATAGATGGAAACACATATGCAGAGGTCACATAAGCTTAACAAAACAGTTGACTTACATCAGGATTTAGATTGCTGACTAAGACAACAGAATGGCCATGAAAGGCAGCCATTCCTGGAATTGTCATACGACCAGTGATTGCAGAAGTGGTAAGAGCGAGAGGGCCAAGAGTCCCAGGTACACCTGAAACTGAAAGACCTGCAAAATATAAGAACAATTAAAGGCTAGTCTGCAGTGTTAGTTAAATGTATATTCATTACATCAATAAACTTGTGGGTGAGTTGGTAAACACTGAACCAATCCCATTAATCACAGCTTTAATGCAGCTTCCAATTGGAAATCTCCACAAAGTTACATGAACGCAAGGACGGCATTTAAAAAAAGAAAAGAAAAAAAGTCAACATGCATTTACACTAAGAAAACAACAGTAAAAACTTTTTGAAAAGTTACTGTGTTTATTACATGCTTACATTTGCATAACAGGAAACTATTATATTTGATTTTTTGGCAATTAAAGTTACACATTTGAAACTATTTTTTTTTAACATAAAAACTTTAATTTATAAATAAATTATAGACCCAAAATTTGAGCAAAGCAGTACGGATTAGCACAATAAATGTGGTAGAAGAGACCTTGAGCTCCTGCTGTCAACTAAAAAAAACAATGAACTATGCATTTACAACAGGGGCCCTCAAACTTTCCAAACAAAGGGCCAGTTCACGGTGTTTCAGACTTTAGGGGAGGGGCATACTGTGGTCAGTGGGAGTTGAAAATAAAAAATGTCCTGTCATCACTGGCCAGGGGGTAAGCAATCCCTCTGGCTTGGTGGCGAGCAGGAGTAAAAAAATGTCACAAGGCTGGTAAGCATTAAGCCGGCATTCACACCTGAGCGATATGAAATGTGCGCGTTTTCAGTGCAATTTTTGGCATACTTTTGTGCACGGTCTACATGTGAACATAAAGTTACGCGTTTTTGCGAGCAGATCTTGACACATTGATGTGCATGAGCAAACTCACGTAAAACGAGTGTAAAAATATGTAAAAAATAGTTTTTCAGCGTTTCCATTGAAGTCTATTAGGCCAAGAAGTGCAGAATCTGCCAAAAAAAGCTAATGTACTTTCTTCAAGTGACGGGCCACAGAAGAAAAATTGGGGTTTTTGGGGGCTTTTTTTGTGGACAGAAAAAGTGCTTCAAAATGCTCGGTGTGGATGAGGGCTAAAAGTTAAAAATGACCTAGCCTCTGTGGTCAGTGGAAGGAAGCACCATCCTTGGTTTAAAGGAGAACTATGAGGTGAGTGAAAATCACACATCCTCAGTTCGAGCCGATACGTAACAATGAAACTGTCACGCATCGGCTCAATAGATCAGGAAGTGAGCGAACACATAACGTTGCCCGCTCACTTGCCGATCATCTCCCTGCAGAGAGCCGGCCCTCCCCATTCCGATCCTCCAGCGGTAACTAGAGGAACGGACGAGGGAGGGGCGGGTACAGCTGGCTCTGACTCTAGATAGGCAGAACCCGCTGTCACTTACACAGCTGGGTGGATAGACAGCATTGTCGGGATTCGTCCAGGCTGCAGCGGTCTCAGTATACCACGAGCTGTAGCTTGCTATATACTGAGCTTTGGGTGACGGGAGGACGCTAGTATATGTCCTCCCGTGACCCTTAAGTGAACTATGGGGAAAAACACTTACCCAACAGTTCTCTTTTAACTGAAAGGAACAGTGCATGTTCATTGCCATTAATAGGAGGAATACTGCCCCATTGTTGGCATCAGGGCTGCGTGCGGGGTTGTTATACATAAAAAAAAAATAAGACCTACCCTGAAAATAAGACCTAGTGTGTTTTATTGAGCCCCAAAAAATATAAGACAGTGTCTTCTTTTCGAGGAAACACGGTAATTATATAGTTCAACTTTTTTTTTAGCAGGAAACCGTGTCCAACCTTCTAAGACACTCATTGTTATAGGCGGGGGTTATACAATGTTTTTTTGTTTGTTTGGTAGTGTCCAAACCTCCTGTGGGCTACTACTGTATAACGCCAATGTTTCAGAATTCCTGTGTCCCTCAAAAGGACAATACACAGTAGTATTTCTTTACTCTAGCCAAAAAAAAGAATAGACAAAAATTTCTAAAGAGTGTTCTGCAGACGTCCTGAGCCAAGGAGCACCAAATGGTTTAATATAAACAAGCACTTAGAGTAGTATTGTGAATGGCTGATAGTTCTTACGGTAAATACTTTGCTAATTCTTCAATCTCTGGAGCTGCCCTGCACAGCTCAGGAAAAGTAGGATATTGTTGGGGACGGGTAGATTTTAAATATGATTACTATGTGCATCTAGCATTCATGCCTTCTTAGCCTAAAAACACTGGATAAGCAAGACACAGAGATTAGAAAACAAACAGTGGCAGAACAATCGCTATAGCGACCCAGGCGGCCGCTATGGGGCCCAGGGGGGCCCGGCCAGGACATCCCCCTTATGTCGCATGGGTTGCTATGGCATCTCAGACTGCTGGCTGTCACTGGTGGCTGTGAGGAGGAACATGCCGCTGTTCAGATCACTGACAACATGTCAGTGATGTGTGCAGCGGCGCATTCCTCCTCACAGCCGCTGCTGAGTCAGTGACAGCCAGTGGCAGCGAAGGAGGCGGGGCCAGGCGATGGAGGAGGCAGGGCCCGTCAGCCACTGTGGAGGAGGAGGAGGCGGCGGGCAGCGTATCGGGCCTGACAGGTAAGAGGGTTTGACCAGCCCACCTGAGACCCTGCAGAGCCCACCATAGATAGTCTATGGTGGGCTCTGCAGGTTCACTCTCAGGTGGGTTGTTTGGGTTATCAGGTGGGCGTAACTAGAAATCACAGAGCCCCATACAAAATGTTGCTATGGGGCCCTGTGATTTCTAGTTACGCCCCTGGAAACAAACTAAACCACAAAAATATATTTTGGTTACAGACAAACATTAGCACAGATATCCTAAAAATGCCCATGTGTACTGACCCATGTAACTCAAACATGTCAAAACTGCAGATACAGGATGACAGAATCCAATAGCTATGGCCCCTTTAGTTACACTGCCAAGGCACCCCCCCACCCCTCCCCGTACACAGAGGTCAGCACGCACACGAGTGGGGAAACTGTCAAAAATGCAAACAGCCAGCGATGGCTGTTCACATTCAAGCGATCGGGCGTCACTGCCGTCGCCGGCCCCGAGGTGCAGCCAGGACCGGCACGGCTGCTCTGTCACAGGAGATCGGTACATGATCTCCCTCCGATCTCCTCTACGGTCCCCGAATGCAGGAAGTGATGTATATGGACCCTTAGTGCTAAATTGATTCCTGCCAACCTCTCTTCTAAAATGCTGGTTTGTGACCGATGGTGACAGAATCAAAAGACTAGACAAATGGTGCTATATTTTTATAATATATGACCTAGTCACTCTTTTAGTGACCACACAGAAGTGAAGAAGAGGAAAAACAGGATGGCAGCACTTAAAAACACAAACACCTTGTTAGATTGTTACTGTGTAACACTCACCTGCTTGCGGGAAGCCAATAGGTGGGCCAAATCCTGCTGCTCCTGCATATGGAGAGGAAATGATGCCTGGAGCAGCTGAAGAGATAAAAAGGAGAAGGCAAAAACTTTACAAACATACAGTTATATATAAAAAAAATAAAAAAAAATATGAAAAAAAAACCTACACAACTTAAAGAAACACTCAATCTAAAACCAAAAACGTGTTCATCCTCTGTGTAAATCAGAAAAAAATGGTATACAAGCATCTGAATATCTTTGTAATTAGAAATCTACCTGCAGCTCCTCCTATTGATTATCTTTCCATGGTAAAGCTGTGTTAAACAATTCAAATTGGGGTTAGTTCACACCAGAAACTGCATCACAACTGCGTGCGTCTGCGCAGTTGCAGTGTGATGCGTTTTGATGCAGTTGCAATGCGTTTTTTTTAACTGCACTAAAGAAATGCTAATTAGGCATGTAGGTCATTTCCTTTTTCTGTCAGAGCATTTCCTATGTTTGTTTTGTTCGTTTGGGAGCTCAGTAATGGTTTCTTTGTTGGCTGGCATGGTGCTAGTTCACTTTAGGCATTCTTTTTTTATGTGTTGCGTTTGAAATGCATTTGCAATGCGTTTGATGCATTTTGATGCAGTTAAAGTAGGACAAGCAGTACTTTTTCTGACTGCAGTTCAATTGACTGCAATGCTGTGAATTAGGCACAAGAAAGCCCATAGGAAAGCATTGGGATGTATTGTAACTGTGAAATAAACGGACTGCATCACAACTGCATATGGTGTGAACAGGCCCTTAGTAAGCATGTCTAATGCAAGTGAAGGTGCCCATACACCTTACAATTATCTGCAGATTTTTCTGTGGTCAGATGGAAAAAGTGCAACAGATTGGCCCAGGTGGAGATTACTCCATCCACACAGTTAAGTGTAGATGGAGGAATCTGTTGCACCTTTTCCATCTGACCACAGGAAATCTGCAGATAAATTGTAAGGTGTATGGCCAGCTTTACACACAAAATAATTCCAATTGCATGTTTATTTGTTTTTTAAAGCAATAGTATATATATGAGCAGCATATTTGTCAATTTAAACATATGAATAGTATTTTTCTACCCGTCTCCTTTTTTTTTTTTTTGCATAGAAGGGTACATCACCACCCAAAAAGGAGGAAAAAAGTTTACATTTCCATTATTTGGATGGGATGAGAAAACACAATATATGCGTGTAACCATTTATTCTGGTCAGCCTGAAAATACATATGCTAACACTTAAAACAGCTAAAAGATTTTATTTTTATTTCTTTAACACACACTAAAGTACATGATAGTAATTGTGAACTCCCTCCATTGAAAAGAAAGCATTATTTTTGTTTGCTATGGTTTCTATGCACTGTGCTGCTGGAACAGACTCAAAGGACCCTTCAGGCATAAGAAGGGTTGATGAGCGATGGGATACAGCATAATAATCTGCATTACAATAAGCTTTTCTATATACAGTTAGCTAAAGAAAGATGAATTAAGGCAAGTGTTTAACATTTCCATATGAAAATCAGTAGATGCCGTACTGGCAGAATGACACATGCACAATGGGATAATTTGAACCTGCCAATAATCTTTCTAACAAGGTTTAACAGTTCTCGAGAGCGCTATACATTTACCGTAATTAAAGCTGCAGTACGGGATAAACAAAAGCTCTGGCATCTTCAAAATGGTTACAAGAAAAATAACAACAATATGAGGAATACATTTAAACAATATAGGCTCAAATGCTGTACAATGACCGAAAGGCTTGTGTCACTTTAATGAAATGCATATTATAATGTTCATGACAGCAAAACGTCACTCAAATGGAGCATAAAGACAGGAAAGCTACAATTGTCTTCAATGATTAGTAGAAAAAAAAAATCTATAAAAGAAAGCCGATGCATCTTATTGAATGTTTTGGTGTTTCAGATTTAAAGTGCACCTGCACATTCTTTTTAAGGAACTATAGGCAAAAATCAAAAAATGACATACTGTGTAATGTTTGAGACAGCAGGTTTTGTTTTTCTGGAACATTGTTATTACCTGCTGATCCTTCCAACAGATCCATTGTTTTTCCACTTCCTTGATCAGGGTGACAAGGCTATTTATTCTATAATTGCACAGAAGTGCTGAGGGAGAACAGACCCCTTCTAATTCAGAGAAAAGGTATACAAACACCAGCAACAAGCCTATAATGCATGCAAATAGTAGGCTTTTTTTTTTAATTTTTTTTTTTTACACACCATTTTATGCTTGCTTCCCCATTTCTGTAATGCATCTATTAAGTAGTCAACAGTTCTGCGGTTCAAAATGTATGCAATCTAGATCTCCTAAATAACTCTTCATTTCCAGTCAAGGAAAATTGTGAAAGAGTGTGTCAACAGATAACAAGTGCATCTCTAGCCCTGTAGCTTAGGCACTGAATACATATAAATCATCTTCACACCTTTGCTTTTACGTCAATTTTCTTTTACACAGAAATAAAAGAACAAAAAAACCCCACATCAAATATAAAAACCCTTACTGATCCACAGACCATTTGATTGGGCTACTATCATCTCATTATTGTTCTTATATTAATGATATTCTTCATCACACCCCAAGTGGACATTGGAAGGCTATTCACACTAAATACTGTAGGACTGGTATGCAATTGGAGAATTATGGATAGTGTGAAATACACTCAACCCCATTATTAGAGCCGACGTGCGACACTGAACACAGGTTGGCTCTATAGATCCAGAACTGAGTGATCACACAGCACAGATTGCTCATTTCCCAATCTTTTTCCTGCAGAGAGTAGTCACCGTTCCCCACAGGGATTCCCCCCTCTTCTCACCGTTCCTCCAGCGCTGACTGGAGGGACAGACAGGGGAGGGGTGGGCACAGCTGGTTCGGGGAATCCCGACAATAACTGCCTTAATCTTTTAGGCCAGGTTCACACCATTTTATCTGGATCAGATCTGGAACACTGTGTATTGCGTTTTTGCTGCGTTTTTCCTTATCTTAAAATGGTCTTACAGGTGCGTTCCATAACAGAGGTAATGAGACTAGCAGTATTTAAAAAAATTATTATTTGGTCTGGACCTGAATAGACTGCACTGGTGTGGACAGAGCCCAAAAATACATTGGGATGCTTTTTTGGTCCAGGAACAAACGGTTCTGGTCTGGACATGGTGTGAACAAGCCCTTAAGTATGCAGCATAACTGTTTATTTTATATATTATAGCCATTGGATTTTCTACCAACATTTGGTGAACACTGGCAAATAACCTTTAGTTATTTTCTTTCAATTCTGACATACATATGAGCGTTACTGCAGCAAGCAAATGCACAAGAGGTAGGGAGCACAGACAGGCACTATAGGTGGTGAACTGATGTCAGAATGTTTTTTTTCCACCTAGTAGTTATTTTTATCTCGTGATTAAGCACTAATAAAGCAATTCTACTCCTCATGGTTTATGGCAAATAATTAGGAACTGGCCAAATATGCAGTGACTAGTAGAGCAGAATGCTGGATGAAAAAGGAATCGGCCAAGAGTCCGACCCTTCGCAGACAAGTTGTAAGATCAGGTAGTGTATAGCCATCTTGAATCTACAAACTCGAAGGGTCTAATCATAGCCATAGCAGACCATGGGACTGTCTGGCTGTCTACTTTATCCAAGGTAAAAGAATACATACTTAAAATCATCAAGTAAACACTTCCAGAACTCCACCTGTTGAAAACAGTTTGTACACTATAATGTTAGTTACTGGTCTGGATCATTGAACTGCTACTTTTAATCTTAGTTTAAGATCTTTATATCATTTCTACTATATAGTGTACAGATTTACTTTTCTTGTCTGTGCTCATATAAACAGTGACCAAATAAAACAATAAAATGTAAGCGAGTCTTACCAAATGCTGCAGCCATGGTTGCATCAAGGGATGGTTGTCCGTCTCCACTAGGTAAGTCAAGGCGTGTGAAGTCTCGGCTTTTATCGTTGTTGTATTTGACATTAAGGCTTGTCAGCTTCGAGAATTCAATGCGCAAAGTACAGCATGCATTATAAATATTTTGCCCATCCAGTGTCTTATGAAGAAAAAAAAAGAAATGGAAAGTAAGCTGAAAAATCATGAGCAATAATACAACACATACTGTAAACATAACAGTTTTTCTTGAGCAACAAAAATCTTTCAGCACAGCTCCTGGGTTCAGTTCCTGCCAAGGACACCCCCCGCATTGCAGCTATATGTTCTACTACTGATTGCTTGGGTTTCCACCAGCTGCATGTGGAACTTCACCTCAGCGTCCGCCTGAATTCATGTTTTTTTTTTCCCCAAGTCTCTTCTCGCCTCAATTAACACCCAGCGAATTCAGAAATGATCTGCTGCAATCCACTACTGCACTATTACAAAGCAGGTCCCGCACCGTCGACTGCATTGTCTATGTCATTGGGAGACCCCTGTCTCTTCCAAGTTTTTGTAGCTGGCACCCTAATGACTCTACTCCAGGTCCCTTATGCGGCAGCACTGTGTAGAAGCTGATGCCTCCTGAAAAAGGCAACGTGAATATTCCAGCAGGCATCAGGAGCAGGATTCCTAGGCGAAAATGGAGGCAGGAGGAAGGGTGGAATGTTAAAGGGAAAAGTAGTAAATCAACACAGTACATACGTAGGTTGTGTTTCAGGTATAGTAAGCAGCAGCACAGTAATTCTATTCTACTTCTTATTAGTCTACTGTTATTCTTAGATTTGTCCTGAGGGCTATCAACAGGTTTTCATTAAATCAGAACTCTGGGCAAAAATGTTCTCAAGCCTTGCTCGTTTTTTTTCTAGGCGCCTAAAAAAAGTTACACTCACCCAAACCACAGAGCCAGCTGGCTGCATCTCCAGTCCCTGAAGCCTGTCTCCTTCTTCGCCGCAGCGATGATATGTCCCTCATATCCTATACACTGTGTATAGAATGTGATGACTCAAGGATCCTTAGACCGTTGCAGCAGAAGGAGAGCGCGGCTCCAGGGACAGAGGCTCTAAGAGTAAGCCATCTCCGAGGAGCGGGTGGGTATACCTGCTTTAAATTTAAAATAATCTTGTTGGATTATTCTTGGTTTTTTCAAAATTCTCATTGCACAAAGATACCAAAATGCCAGTACAAATAAGCATATGCAGAGCAACCAACTAAAATGCAAAATCATTCTCAATTTACATATAGGGAAACTACAATAGCTCAAGATATATGCTGACTAGTGAAAAAAAACAATAATTGATGTTCTTTCAAAAAGGTAAACATCACTACAGAAAGTGGTTAGTACCACAACCACCAGAATATGTCTAAATGATAGCAACATAATGTTTGCCTCATGTGCAACACTTCCATTGGACTCTACAGTGTATTAGAAGCCAAAGAATGGCATTACAGTGAATCTTGCAACCTCTCCGAGAGATGGCCTGGCGATGCAACCAAAACTTTAAAAAAAATGTAAAGATCTTTGGCACTTCCACACCTAAACATACAGGCTAACGGAATTGCATGCAGAAACAATGACTTTGTTTTTACCCCAATACCCCTATTAGTAGTAGAAGGAAAGCAAAACGAAGCTTAGGCTTAGTTTGTGCTGCCACCATCGAGCACAATGAAGCTCTACAACTAGCCATCATTTCCTGGTTTTGGAACACGCCCAACAGAGCTTGGTCCCTGAACAAAGTCACGTGATGGGCAGTGTGCCCCGGCTTATGCAAATAATGGTGAAAAAGTTAGGGTAGGTCAATTTATGGGGCACAATGGGTGCCGCGAAGGGTCCCAGACTAATGGTGTGTGTAGGTTTTTATGTGTACATCTTAAGTTATGCCCCTGTCTGTTGCCATAGGTCAACTTTTAAAGAAGAACTCTGCAGATTTTTGATTAACCCCTGCAGTGGGGCTACCTCTGCACTGCAAGGATTAACTGCTTGTTTTTGTCTAGGTGCTAAAATAAAAAAAAGGTATACTCACCTGAACTGCTAAGCTGACTTCCTGCTTTTCTGGTAACTGAAGCCTGTATCCTCCTCTGCTGCACAGATGTAATGTTTCTCAGTGTCCTCACATCTATTTATTTGAATAGAACGTGATGACACTAGGATCCTTAGACTGCTGCAGAGGAGGGGGAAGAGACTCCAGGGACCGTTCTAACAACAAGCCGTCTGGAATGATCAGGTGAGTATAACTTTATTTTTAGCACCTAGACACAAACGAGTAGTTAACCCTTGCGGTGGGGTAGCCCCACTGTAAGGGTTAATACAAATGTTTCCCTGGAGTTGTTCTTTAAATGAAAAGTAATAGGGTAGAAATCAGCAAAGAAAGTTTTTTGTTTTTCCATAAAAGTATATTCTTTAGTTGTATTTTACCTTATACGTTGTTTTCCCCCATTAGTTCTCTTTAGGGTCATGGGAGGACATATTTAGCCTCCTCCCGTCACCCAAAGCTCAGTATAATGTGGGCTATTGCCCACGATATACTGTGAGCACCGCAGCCAGGACGGATCCCGACATCTAGAGACAGAGCCAGCTGTGGCTGCCCCCTCCCTCGTTTGTTCCTCCACTCAGTGCTGGAGGATCGGAGAAGGGCGGGGGGAATGCCTGCGTAGAGCGGTGAATGAGTCCTGTGACTCACCTCCTCTCCCGGCCGCGTCCCTAATAACAGGCGATGGGAGAGGAGAAGTGTGTGTCACATGCCCCGCCCCCTGCAGTGCACACCGTCTGGCTGGGATGCTGGCTGTGAGGCTTAGCAGGTGAGTCCGAATGAGGATGGGGGGAGCGTGGGGGGGGTACGGGTGTAACTGCACACTATGTGCTGTTTTTTCATTTAATAAGAAAAGTGGATTATAATGGGGAACATTACACTAATGTTCCCTATTATAATCTATTTCTCGGATTAAATGATTAGACAGGGCCGTTGTTCTATCAAAGTTTGTGACTAGGTTGGAATGTGTGACCGGTGACGTGGTCACACATTTCAATGTAATCCTTGGCGGAGGAATGTGTGACCGCCAATAGGTGAAGCATTCTAACACTTTCTCAGCTGTTCCAGGGCAGATCGGCATCACAAATCGTATGTGCAGGAGAACCGATCTGCCCTGGAACAGCTGTTCAGTCCTGAAATGTCACTTCTATCCGACTTTGTGAGTGGGGTGCAATGTGAGATCGCACTCAAGAGTCGGAAAGAAGTGACATTTCAGGACCGAACAGCTGTTCCAGCCTAGAAAGTGTTGGAATGCTTGACATATTGGCGGTCACACATTTCACCACCAAAAAACTGAGTGGGATTGCATTGAAATGTGTGACCACGTCACCAGTCACACATTGTAACGTAGTCACAAACTTTGATAGACCACCACCAATCAGGGGGGTATGGCCGGTACCCATGTGAGGGGTCCGGGCCGCCTGAGGGGCCTCTTACATGAGTATCAGCTGTACCAGGGGCGGCATGGCAGAGGTGACAGGGGAGGGGGGTGGAGAAGTCCAGGCCCCAGCAGCAGGTAAGAGGAGTTGGGAGGAGGTACAGGGAAAGGGACCCCAGCGACCAGCCCACCTGAGGCCCTGCAGAGCCCACCATAGAGAGTCTTGGATGGGCTGTGCAGGATCTATGGTGGGCTTTGCAGGGTCACTCTCAGATGTGCTCTGCAGGGTCTCAGGTAAGCCCAGAGTCCAGTGCGTTACTAAGCCCAGAGTCCAGCGCGTTACTAAGCCCCCGTATACCTATATACATGTTATACATAGCATAAAAAGATAAAAAACAATATATACAGTGTTATCTTCATTTTAGATGTCAAAAGGGTTTTGCGGCTCCCTGTGTTTTCTTTTCTGTGGGAAACAAATGGCTCTGAGTGTTTAAGGTTGCTGACCCCAGGTGTAGGGGTACCAAAAGCGGAAACAGAACATTTTACACTTTATGACTATCCCAACTAGATCCATGTGTGTTTCAGTGCCTAAATGTATCTTGATCATTAATTACGGCCTGAAACTTCTGACTTTTAGATTAGGACCAGATGTCAGGCAGGTTAGAAACATTATATATTCCCATGTATACTATTGCTACTACTAACAGTTTAGCACATTAGGAGGATCACATATTAGTAATACGAGCTTCACAGAAATAAAGTACTAGGTTATTTTTATTCGTAAAATATAGTTCATGACTTTGTTGTTGTTGTAAGTGCCTTTATTTAGCACTCAACGTGCTACATAGATAGTGCACATGGCCCTTATAGCAGGGTGATTAAAAACTGGGTCACCCAGGGTTGAAAACCAGGCTGAAAAAAATGGGTCATTAAATGATTTGGCAACAGCTTGCAGCTAAAGTTGGGAAATTGAAAGGAAATGCACACTTGGGGCAATAAAGGTTTTCTGAAACCTATAACCGCACGGGGCATTTTAGAGAAAAAGGAAAACTAAAATAGAACATAAGGTATGGAAAACTGAAGGTTTGGTTTTGTGATGCTGTAGAAGAATCACAGGATTATCTGATTTGTATATATTATACGTGATGGTTGCAATAGATGGTTTAGCTTTTAGTGCAAACTCGCAAAGGTTCACCTACAGGAAATTACTGTAAATCATCACAAACATTGCAATGACGTCTACAAATGAAAATAGCTGCTATTAGGGGGTTTAGGGTTTTTTTTTCTAACCTTTTAAACTATTTTTTATTTTTTTTCTAAACTTTTAATATTTTTTTTATTAATAAATACTTTTATTTTGTAACTTTACTGTCAGGGGCACTGGGAAATATCAGGAGTCTAAACAGATCCCTGATATTTCCCTTTCAAAACAGAAAAAGAGATTGAGGACACAAAGTCCTCAATCTATTTCTGCAGCCCCTGTTATGAATGAACAGGAATCCTCTATACTGAGTGTTTGTTTATTCATAACTTGTGGAGATAGTATGTTTACTATAGCCACAATCATGAATGAACAGGAAGTGATGTAGAGCACTTAGAGCACTTCCTATTCATTCATAATTGGGGACACAGTAAACATTATTTACAAGCCGTGAGCGATCATGGTATAGATGAAAGAAATTGCAAGCCCTACCGTTATGCTAATTTCTGCCATGACAAGTTTCCTTTAGAGGGCAATTATTACAAAAAAAGGCTCTTTGTAGGCTGCACATAAATCACCCCTAATCCGAACAACCATTTTTGTAGTCACTATTGGGCCATATGGAAATTTCAGCAAATTAAAGCATTCTAAAAAAACAACTGATTTTGTAATAGCTGCCCTTTACCTGGAGCAAATGTCTCCAGGCCAACATTCTAATATTAACCTGTGATTCTCAGTTACCAACTAGCCATTCATTGCTACTCTCCATTTCATGAGCAGTAAAGATGGCTACACACATTCAGATGAACCTGTTCAAATGACTCCTCTGGTCAAATGACAAGCTTTCCAATATGGTCAATAAAAATAAATTCAACACAACCTCTCTAAAAACAAATATACGTGTACCTCTGCATATTTTGCTGCAACTTTTTATTTTTGGAATTTGACAAGGGACTGATATGACCAGTCCTATGCACTCAGTCTTAAATTAAGAAATATTTCATAAGACTAAAGCAGCCTGCTAACAATCTCCCCATTCTGGCTATAAAGGTTTTTCCCTTATTCTCCTTCTAGTTCAGAAACATCCTTAAATATTTTAGATACTACATGTCTGTCTATGATATACCCAGGAGGTATGTTTTTGTTTTTTTAATTCATAATGATGAAATTCAACAAATAAGTAGTAACTATACATTCAAATTTCCAAAAACATGTTATTTGAGTTTGTTCTCTTACAAAAGTTGCTGTAATTTAGCCCAGTGGGCCCAACATATGGGCAAGGATCACTCCTCTTAAATGTTGACAATTACATATTAAAGTAAATTTCCACCTTTGTAATTGATTAGCATTTATTGTGGTAATGAAGTGGTACAGTGATGAGGTATACATGTGCACATATTCATGACTCGCATTACAGGCTTTCTTCATTTTCTTATGAAAGTTTTTATTGGTCTGGGGCTAGTAACAACAGAAAAGTCATTAGTGATATCTGCCAGTTTACCTGAGAATAAACCAGTTGTATGAATACTTTAGGTAAATATTCAGTTCTTGTATATGCAAAACTTGTAAAACTGGTCAATGATTCACAACACAGACCCTTTGTTGAGAACAGCTCAGATTTTACAATCCAAGTGCAGCTTTGCAGTCTGCAGAACACGTATACAAAGTATTATTATTATGCCTGGAAGTGCAGCAAACTTCCTGATCTCAAATGATCAAATTTAATGAAGGCTACAAAAGACCTAACTTTGATCTTGCACCATGCTAAAGGCAAACTTATCTACTCCAAAAAAAAAAAAAAAAAAAAATCTGTAAACACAATTTAGAAGGCATTTGCTTGTAAAACGGGCTATTAAATAATAACTAATCGTCCATTAACCTATATTGATTTAGAGACTGTCACAGATAGGAGGTGACATACTGTGCATGATAGAAGCAAACCCAACACAAGGTTTTGTTCATTTCTAATACTATACAAACTGCAACTTCTCGTGTGAAAAAAAAATTAATCAAATTATTTTAACAAATGATAAGTCAAATTTTCAAGCTGGAGTTGCTGGCTTCAGCAAAATGTTTTTTGTTTTGTTTAGACTAGGTGTAGACCACCTTCAGAATATGCATTGTGTTAATGCCCCTTATTACAGAACATTAAGGGGTGCTGCTATTTATTCTGAATGGGCTGGTGGTGCACCATTACTTGCTAAACATGAGAATAGAAGGGAACGCAAAACTGTAAATAAGCAACTTATGTTACTAGTTTGTGTGCTGCGTTTGTGTGTGTTGTGATAAAATTATACAGTCATACATTTAATCGCAAAACAGCGTATCACAACGCATGGCAATCAGTCACAACGCTTTGCCATGCTCTGCCACAGTTAAATTAATGTTACTTTGAAAAGAGAAAAAAAAAAAAATCAAGCACTGCGATGCATTCTAAATGCACTGCAGCGCATAGCGGGCACCACAATATGGTGCACGTGTGGGGGTGGGTGGGGGTTGTGTTTTTTAACTTCAATTAGTTTTTAGTGAACATTTTCGGTTATACATAGCAAAGGGAAAACAGTGTTGATCAACAGATCAGGTCCAGGAAGGACCGAAAGGACAAATCAAGAAGGAAAGAAAGGACAAAACAAAATGACAAAATAAAAAAAAAAAAATACACGTGTGGAGCCGCTAATCTCTGAGCCTTCATCTTGTACCGGGGACTTGACAAAGTCTTGAGAGTCAGCCAATGATGAGCTTAGTGCATGTCCGGTGTTTAAAGTCATGGGGAGGAAGTATTGTGCCGAGACCATAGGAACCAGTGGCTCCATTTCTTTTGAAATTTCGTCATTGTGTCATTATGTATTGCGAGTACACGTTCGCGGGTTGTGTTTTTTAACTAGTTTTTACTGTTGATGGGTCTTCGAGGATATACGAGGGGTCTAAATAGACCCCTGATATTTGTCTTTGGAAATAAGAAAAAAAAATTGGAGGACACAGAGTCCTCAATCTTTTTCTGCAGCCTCTGTTCTGAATGAATGAAAAGCACTCAGTACAGAGTCTTACCATTTATTTCAAACTGAAGATAGTAAAATATTTACTATCATCCAGTTATGAATGGGTAGAAGCCTCTGTACTGAGTGCTTTCCATTGATTCAGAAACTCATGAATGAACAGGAAGTGATTTTTTGTTAATAGTTTGCTGATGACATCTGAATTATATCTGCTGAATAATATCAGGTTATATTTGCACTATACACCAGCGTTTCTAGATGTGCATATGGCCAGTGGGGCAAAAAGCAATGATTTGCATGAAGTAAGCTCCAAGCTCGCTCCCGTGATCAACTACAATCTCATGTTTAGTTTACTTATTTGTATTGAGAGCTTGGAGCGGTGGCTACTTTACAACACACATAGAGAACAAAAGTATCCACCCTCCGGAAGGAAAGACAGTGTCATCACCAATTCAGAGATGATTTGAGGATCTACACCTGAGTGATACACAAATAAGATACATTTGTGTTAATAGTTAAGGTACTTGAATGCATTTTAAAGTTTTAACTCCTGAGTACAGTGTCACTTTAATTTAAAAAGCAGTGGTACATTTAAAAAGCTCAGGTTCTGAAGCAAGCAGAACACTATTTAAATGAATGAATAAAATCATGTGACCGGCCTCTCCTCAAATCACCACAGCCTGTATGTTATGGAACGAACCCAAAAGCTAAAAGGAACCAAAAAGTCCCCCACTTAATCAGAAACACAGTAGAGCCTTCTTAAAACAGAAGGGCATTTGCTTGTTTAACTTCTATCACAAATCTAAAAAAAAACAAAACAGGGTTTATTCCTCATTTTAAGATATAGTAGACAGAATGCAAATCATTTCCTTTAACTCCTGTAGCCAAATGTGCATTCAAAACCACTGATTTATAGTACAGATACAGCTTAAAATTATAACATTTATTCCAAACTGCATATAGCCGTTTCAGGCTAGTAGGGCTTATGAAATCGACACAATGAAACAACTGGGCACCCTATGGTGAGGGGGGCTTAAAGTAGCCAAAAACCCACTACTTAGTGAAAAACTGTTGGCAGTTAGCCCATAATACTGGTAATAGATCTATATATATTCAGGGAATTTCATTTGAGACAGTGCTATAAATTCTCCTTTACAAGGAATCACTGCAAAGGCCAGATAATTACTCAGTAGCATGTAAACAACTGCTTTATCATCTCCGTCCATACAGAAAGGCTGCCTGGACTGATAGTTTGTGAAAACACGTCAAGGTAGATCGATTTTCCCCTCATTTCTACATGGGCATTGCCACTTATCTCTATGTTCCAAAATAGGTCAGCCATTGTAGAGCTGGATCCCAGAGCATTTCAGGCTCATTCATTACTGAAGGCCTTTGTTTACTGCCACATTATTACACAAAGCAGCTTTGTGAATGTGATAATACAGAGCATAAGCTTGCCAAAACTTACAAATAACTGTAAAACATGATGAAAGAATATAGTTCTTTTTCCTAATCTCCTGTAATAAGTGTGCACGTCATGTGCCTTCCTTACCACTTTGGCATGTTGCGCATTCAGTGAATCAGCATACTGCAGCAGGGCCTGAAACTGGTTGTTTTTTGTAAATGTAATGATCTTCAAAACGGTTCCAAACTTGGAAAAAATCTGTAACAAAGCAAAAAAGGAAACTTTATTCAGTTGAAGGGTATTAAGTGCTAGTGGCCAGTATGACTAGATGTGCATATATAAAAAACAACAAGTCCCTTAAGCCTGCTAAATGACGGCAATGAAAAAACATTAGAAAACCAAGGCAGACAATTCAATGAATTGATTTATTATTATTATTATTATACAGGATTTATAAAGCGCCAATAGTTTGCGCAGCGCTTTACAATATAAGGAAGACATTACAGTCACAGTACAATTTAAGACAAGATGGTAAGCTGTTCTGTTATGGTGAAAAAAAGGTAATGCTAGGAACCCTTCAGATTTCATGTTTTATCTGCTTATACAAGGTTAAATCTTTTAGATTGTAAGCCCTCACGGCTTACAATCTAAAAGATTTAACCTTGTATAAGCAGATAAAACATGAAATCTGAAGGGTTCCTAGCATTACCTTTTTTTCACCATAACAGAACTGCTTACAGTGCATAAAAATGGCAATAGTCTCCATATGCATTTCCAGCCCCTTAACCACACTGATTACCTGATGCTAGGTACAAGCATTTATATTGGATAGTGTGTGCAGATGTATACAATACTACCCAAGAACTAGTACGGGGGAAAGGAAAAAGGCAAAAGCAAAGTTGGAATGCAGATGTTTTAATGTTTCTATGCTAACAATATTAGAGACTGGGAATAAGGACTGTAGTTCATTCACAGTACACAGTTACACATTTACCTATATACGTACAATAAACAGTTTAAAGTATTCCTTCAATTAAAGAACGTTTATATTCTAAGGAAAATATGTGGGCTGCCCTGTATGACCTGATCAAAGACAAGCATGTGGCTAGTGAAACCAGCATACTTTTTCCTGGTTAGTGACTCAAAAGTAGTAAATCCATGCCGGCAAGGGCATTTTCAAAAGGTTGGTTGGTTGGTTGGTTTAAAGCAATTTAATATAATCCGTTTGTTAATTCAGATGAGTTTAGTCTGTTCATGGGGGAATTCAAATGATATCAGAATGACCAGTAAGTCGCTGTTATTATGCATGCCAACTTTTCTTAAATACATCCGATAAAAACTGAGGCAATAGACCTCATTTTTATAGAGCATCTAAAAAGTATTGCTTATGATCCATCAGCAAGTCTGCTGCTGAATACCATGTAAATCCTTTTGTACTACTTATTTTGGATTCCCTGGATGACTGGTGTCCCAAAGATAATTGGAAGATTAAAAGGAGCGGGTAAACCTAGGATACACAATGCCCATATTTAAAGTGGAACTACAACCTCCTATTCCTTACTGACAAGGAAGGTGCCATCTTAGCCTCTAATTGGAATGCAGTTGCCATGGTGCTGAACATGTGATCAGATATGACACCAGCTATCTGAGGGCTTGAAAGTTTGGTTGAGAGCTAAAATAGGGACATTGGCCACCTTGACAGTTGGCACACCTTGAAAGTAACAGTTTTGGGAGACATTAAATTGGTGGGTAAAGTTCCTCTTTAAGTGCAGAAAGTTACAACAGTAACAGCTCTTTTAGTACTAGTGTCAGAGATGAACAGATTATCTCCCCATATAAGCCTATGGGAATGCAAAAGCAGCTGAAGCAGGTCAACTATATCTGCAAAGGTTAGTCTGCCCCCCATTGTCAACTAGAAGGACTTTAAAAGGAATCTAAGAACAACGTTAGTCTGGAAATAACCAACTTTACTTCTCCATATAAATGTGTTGCTGGGAGTTGTAGTCCTCCATAGCTGGTGCCATTGCTGTACAAAATATTGGTTGTGGAGGATGGTTGTGGGATAATTCAATTGCATTTATTGTGCACTACTTTATTTCCGTTATTACATTGTAATATATAATGAAATAATTATAGAAGTCACCATAATGCAAAATCGGTGGGAGCCCTGAGCTTGTTTTCCTGCTCTCAGGAGGCCAGTACGGGCTCTCAAAAAGTTGTTAATATTTATTTTTGGAACTTTATTCTGAATAAAACATTTAACAGCGTCATTTCATAAGATAACTTAAGGGGTGTGTTTAGAGGAGTTAAGGCCGGGGCAAGGTAGGGGTTAGGTGGGGCTACTGGTGGCGAGTAACTCTTAAGGCTTGGCTAGTAGCTCAGGACTTGAAATGTTGAGCCCTGGTAAGGTGTAAGGTAAACTTTAGCATTGCAAATGTTTCAATGAACAGAGCAAATTCTATCTTCATTAAAAGCATGCACGTACTTTATCTGCCCTCAGCAACCCCATACCTGATGAAGAACTTCCAGAGTGACAGGGTAGAATAGGTTTTCCACAATTAGTCTGAGGACAGGACTCTGTCCAGACAGAATCAAACCTTCACCAGTATGACCACCCGTCAGTGCCAGACCACCGGAGTGGACGGCATTCACAGCTTGCAAGGCAGCCTGAGCGCGCTGAAATCAAAACACACTTATTAAAATATTATTATTATACAAGATTTATATAGCTCCAACAGTTCGCACACCGCCTTACAAAATGGAGGAGACAGTACAGTTAACAATACAATTTCAGTACAGGAGGTAGGAGGGCTCTGCACATGAGAGCTTACAATCTAGTAGGGGGGCAAGTGATGAAAAAAGGTAGGAACCGTTTGGCATGATTTATTAGAAGAGCTGAAAGTACGGTTATATCGAGGTGGAATAGGCCTTTCTGAAGAGATGATTTTTTAAGGATCGCCTAAAAAGGTGGCCAGAATAGGAGACAAGCGGACAGATTGGGGTAGGGCGTTCCAAAGGATGGGAGAAACTCTGGAAAAATCCTGAAGGCGAGCATGCGAGGAGGTAGCAAGAGAGCAAGAGGTCTTGAGGAGGAGTGACGGGGGCAGTTTGGGTGATATTTTGAGATCAAGTAGGTTATGTAGTTGGGGCGGAGTTGTAGATAGCTTTGTAGGTTATTGTTAGTATTTTGAATTTTATACGTTGGGCAAGTGGGAGCCAGTGGAGCGATTGGCAGAGTGGGTTGGTGGGCGCTGAATGGTTGGTAAGGTGGATGAGTCTGGCAGCATTCATGATACACTGAAGGGGGATAGCCTATTTTGTGGCAGGCCAACCAGGAGGGAGTTACAGTAGTCAAGGTGAGATATTACAAGGGAGCGAATTAGAAGCTTTGCGGTGTCATTTGTTAAAAAGGGAAGAACTTTGGAAAGGTTGAGTCGGCAAGATTTGGATAGTGATTGAATGTTGGGTTGAAAGGAGTGCTCAGAATCAAGGATTACACAAAGTACACTGGCTTGATTGTAGTGCTGTTGATTGTGATGGAGAAGTTGGGGACACGAAGACAAGGAAATATTATAAGCTCAGTGTTGGACAGATTTAGTTTGATGAAGTGGTGCGACATCCATGTTGATATGTTAGTGAGTGGATTAGTGATACGTGAGGAGATAGAAGGGGTGAGCTGAGGGGTGGAGAGATATATTTGTGTGTCGTTGCCATAGAGATGGTATTTGGTCTCGGAAACCAAAATGAAATATTTTATTATAATGCAGCAAAATATTCCAGTAAATGTTTCTATCTAATGGATCAAAGTCATTTTTCTGGACATAACAGTCAGTACCTCTGTGCTGTAATGTCAATTTAAAAATGAAAGCTATTTAGCACTTCCTTCTTGCTACAAAGTTCCTTCTCCCAAAGCTCTTCAGCCCAAAGGTTATGTCATGTAGAAGTATTTTGAACCTTCTTGGGCCTTCACCATTCCAAAGAGACCTGATAAAGCAGCCTGGATCATTGAACAATTTCAATGGGTTTGTAAAGTAGGCACCCTGTCAGGTACCACTACACCTGAAGACACTAGAAAAGTGCTTAGCATATTTCAGTTCACAAAATGGTCATTTGCGAAGACGGAACTACAGTGCGCAATTTCCAAATTAAATTTTTCCGGTAAAGCATGAAGACATGATATATGGAGAGAAAGTGGTTAGGCAGTATGTTTTTAACTCACCCCCTATTGTATATTTCAAAGTTAACATCTTATCTGAAGTGAATGGGTAAGTATGGTACGACTAACATTGTAACACGATGCTCTGTAAAAGCTCTTTGTAGAAGCCAGTCATTAAATACAGAAGCTGCATGGCCATTAACTGCTCATTATCCCTATGGCTTCTTCGGTTGCTTGATATCCCTTTTTGTGTACAATCTGCCTCAAGCAAAAAATCAGAACATTGACAGTTAGTTCCATTTAGGTTTGAATTCAGATTTAGAGGTGCTTCTCTTGATTAAGCTAAAAAAGAACAAAGCAATCCTTCAGGAAAATTGCAAAGTTACTCGGGAAATATAAAATGCTAGGAGAAATTACACACTATATATATATATATACACACACATACACACTGAGTGGCCAGATTATTATGACCACCCCATCAGTACTTCGTTGGGCCACGAGATGACTTAGTTGTGCCGCCTCGTGACTCCACGAGATGTTGCAAGGTGATGCGAGGAATCTGACACTGCACTGTTGCCCTTCTGTTGTCTTGTACCAGTCTTGCCACTCTTCGTTCTGCCCTTACATTGACTAGTCGCTGATGGCCACAATTCGCACGTTCAGACCCAGATTTTCGGCTGACAGTCCACACGTTAACAACAGCTGCTCTTAAACATTTAACGAATTCTGCTGTTTTGCTGATACTCGCTCCATGGCTCCGAGCGCCAACAATCATCCCACGTTCAAATGCTGTTAAATCGCGTTGTTTACCCATATCTTCAGAAAAAAATCACTTCTACTGTCGTGGTAAACAACCTGCTTCCCTATTTATAATTGTCTGGCCTTCTAGCAACTTCAGCGCGAAATTATAGCTAATTTGCCTACAAGTGTCAGCAGGTCATAATAATCTGGCCACTCAGTGTGTATGTATATCATTTGTTGTATTCCTATATAGCTGCTGGTATTCTGCATTTCGTCATATAATCATTATGCAGAATACCACCAGCTATAGAGGACTACAAATCCCAGCGATAATAAATGATATACAGCGCAATGCAGAATAATGCCAGCTACTGAGGAATACATCAGATCCCAGCAATAATACATTATATACAGTGCAATGCAGAATAACGCCAGCTACGGAGGACTGCAAATCCCAGCAATAGTACATTATAGTAGAATGTACTATTGCTGCATTCCTCTACAGCTGCTGGTATTCTGCATTGCGTCGCTGTATAATGTACTATATTGCACACACACTTTTTTTACTTCCACCGTGCCAAGCTTGCTACAATCTCAATAGAAACTAGTAGTCCATCACTGGAGCCTTTTTTTTTTTTATCCGATTAACCGAACTTAATAAATCGGCCAACTAATCGATTATGAAAATAATAGTTAGCTGCAGCCCTACAAACGTTGACAACGTTTTCCATCGTCGATTTTAATCGACTAAATCGAATAGTTGTTGCAGCTCTAATATATCTAATGGGTTAATTGTGTTATTCAACCCCCTCATGACAGCGATGTTCAAAGTGTTTCCCCATTTTATTTATATATACATGGATATATATTTTATTTGTGCTAAGCGAGGCGTTAGGTGT